ACGATGAAAAATATTGAGCACTGATTTGACCGGCGTGAAGCGCTTCAACGTCTTTAATATCTCGTATTAAAAAAAATCATAACGTCCAGAAGAAGAAAAAAGAACTTCTGACGGAGAGTGTCGAACCACAGACCTCTAGCCTCTAACCCAATGCCTTGCCTATCGACCAGCATCATGTACTTCGTAAACTTTCTTCGGAACTTGTATTTCAGTAGTTACGTCATTTGCTTTACCGCATAATTGACAGATAAACCATATGCACGATTTTCCTTTAAATACATTCGTATGTTCTTATCTAAATTATTAATAAAAACAAATGATAAGCTACCCGAAAAATTAAGGTAAGGTCTACAAAAAATAACACATAGTTATTTAAGAAAATGATTTTATATTTATTTATGTGCACTTGCATATATGCGGCGTGTTCCAATATACCCTGTGAGCACTGCAATATGTGACGTCATTGAAGTATACTGTTGAAGCATTCCATTTTCGTCAGCGCCAGTGTTTATAACTGGTTGGGAATAATATCGGAACGTTTTTCAGTAACTGGTGAATTGCACAAATAAAACAAAGGGAGGCAATACCAAAAATATGATTATTTGCACCAAAACAAAAGAGAAAAAAATAAGATGATCAAAAAGCTATCATTTACCATTTTGTGCACATAATGATTGTTCTGGTGTTACACATATTTCGTACAAAACGTTTGTTTCGCCGTCAATTAACGTTACCTTCACCATTTTTTCCGCCTATTATTGTAGGGAGTGGGTGACCACTGGGAGTACCTTACCTATGGGAGTTCAGGTGCTTACAGTGAAAAAATGGGAGAAACTTATGACGTCATTAAAGTTACTAGGCACTGCCGCAGTGCACTGTACTCCAATATCGGAATGAAATCTGCAGTACTGGCAGCACTGCCAGTGTATATCGGAACACGCCGATGATCTACAATCCGAAAATATACATTCCCAATAGAAAGCAATAAGAGTTCTAACACTGAAATTCGTTTCTATTATATAATCTTTGATACACGTGATAAATCCTACAATTTCTCCATCATTAATTCTATTTAGAATGTTGTTTGTGTTATTAATGTTACTCGGAACAAATGGTGCTTGTTTCTCGCAAACAATTTGCGCGTGCGCGCTACAGTCTCTTTTAGTACAAATCCCCACTCATAGGCAGCGCCACAAGATAGCTTGGTATGGCGACCAACGAGGCAGCAGCCAATCGGATTCAAGGACTCCCGCAGCTGTGGCGCCCTCCGGATTAGGCCCTTCGAGAATCTTCCAGTCGTCTCGAATCTAGAGGACCAGCATGTCCGCCTTTCTGTAAAACGTTAAATAATTAATAAAGATAGTGTGTGTTTGTATTCTCTCCTGCAATACTTACTTACCTGCCTCGCCGGCCACATTGGGATTTTCAGGGTGCCATCTACCCGCCGGGATTGGAACTAAAATTTTACTATAGTATATGCTTGACATATCCCCACCACGTCCTCCGCACCTCTATACCTATCTACACTCAACGGTGTAACTGCTAGGGCGTAGATATGTATATCTAATTATGGGCTAATATTTAACGCTAGGCGTATCTGTTTACTGTGAAAGTGGGGGATGTAATGCCAACGAATGAGAGCGACGTGTAGGTATACAGATCAATGATTTATTGTAGGTAAGATAGGTTGACTTACAATGGTTGGTAGGTTTGAAAGGGTTGATGTTGCACTTCACTGAGTTCTTTCTGTGGCAATCCGTCGCCTGTTGTTACACTCACGATAGATTTAATAGAACGCTCACCGCGATGACTTCCCTGGCCCTCGGGTGAGAATGCTTGGTCACAAGGATCCGAAGACACGTAAAATACTACCAGCGGAGGAACAAGCAGGACTCGATGATTTAGACGGTGACTCCTAGAGGAGTTCCGTCTGTTGCCAGGATTCGCGAAAGACTACCTATTGGTTCCGAATACTGTAGGTGCCTGAGCTCCAATTTTGGGGATAATGCACCGCAATATTGATGATCTTGCAGAAAGAGTCTTGCTTCATTCCTCGCGCTGGCATGTAGTGTGAGTGCGTGGTCTGCTACTCAGCGTTCCAGGAATTACATGAGGCAATCGAAAAGTTCGATGAGCCGAAAAGAATTTACCGATTGCATTTACTTGAATAGATCCGCTTTGGGATATAACAAGATGACGGCGCGAGCCAGCCCGCAAGGCCTGCTTACAGGAGGCCAATAACACTAAGATTATCGTCGTAGTGTCCCTGTTTATCTGGATGTAATTGAGTAAGATACAAGAGACGATAATCTTAGTGTTATTGGCCTCCAGTAAGCAGGCCTTGCGGGCTGGCTCGCGACGTCATCTACGCTCCGTTTAAACACGTTCTGATTGGTCGCATTACTGCAACTTCAACCTTAATTATCTCAAAATTTTGATATATGAAATAAAAAATGAAAATACACGTATTCTTTGGAATTTGACAAGGAATGCAACGATGTTACTACAGTGCGTTTCATAACGAACACCCTGTATATCAATGGTCAACCCCTCCGTTTAAACACGTAGGCCAATAACACTAAGATTATCGTCGTAGTGTCCCTGTTTATCTGGATGTAATTGAGTAAGATACAAGAGACGATAATCTTAGTGTTATTGGCCTCCAGTAAGCAGGCCTTGCGGGCTGGCTCGCGACGTCATCTACGCTCCGTTTAAACACGTTCTGATTGGTCGCATTACTGCAACTTCAACCTTAATTATCTCAAAATTTTGATATATGAAATAAAAAATGAAAATACACGTATTCTTTGGAATTTGACAAGGAATGCAACGATGTTACTACAGTGCGTTTCATAACGAACACCCTGTATATCAATGGTCAACCCCCTGCAGTACTGTCAGTCCATTTCGGAACGCACCCCTCGTATGTGCTTTCTAACCTGTCAAAGAGTAACACAAAGTCTGCTTATAAATCTCAACTTTATGAATTGTCCATTAAATAACATTAAATGTAGGTTATTAGGTTTAAGTAAAATTTGGTGAACTTATTGTACGGCGATTCAATAAATTTGAAACTACGGAATAAGGAGTTCTATGTAATCATATCTATGTAGAAACTTTGTGAAATATAGTTTAAAACGTACTAGATTATATTTAAGTTACAATAGCAATGGCTGTGGTAATAGAAACAACGATTGGAGATTTCACAGTAGACCTATACACGGATCGACGGCCACAAAGTAAGTTGAAAATTCATTTATTAAACAAGCACAATGTTTCGTCTTACATAATTGCATCTTTTGATATTTACAGCATGTCGAAATTTTCTTAAACTTTGCAAGATTAAGTACTACAACTGGAACTTGTTTCATTCGGTACAATGCAATTTTATTGCACAAACTGGTGATCCAACAGGAACTGGGAAAGGTGGAGAAAGTGTGTATGGATATGTTTTTGGAAAAGAGGCGTGTTATTACGAGGCAGAGAAAATGCCAAAAATTCGGCATGAGAGGTCTGGATTGCTTTCCATGGTTAATTGTGGGAACAATATGCTCGGCTCTCAGTTTTTTATTACTTTGGGGCCTGAGCTCCAGTCACTTGATGGTCAGCATTGTGTATTTGGTGAAATTACTGAAGGTCTTGAAATTATTTTAAAATTTAATGAAACAATCTGTGATGGAGAACATAGACCATATCAGGACATCAGAATATCTCATACTGTAATTTTGGAAGATCCTTATGAAGATCCCAGAGGTCTCATTGTACCTGATCGTAGTCCAGAACCTACAAAGGAAGCATTAACGGTATGGTACCATTTTTCATAATCAGATCATTTTTTTCAACAATCTCTTTTAATTCCAATAACAGAGCGATAGAATAGGTGCTGATGAAGTAATTGACGATACAGCCGGTATGACAATAGAACAGATTGTGGAAATGCGAAAACAAAAAGAAGCTAAGGCCCGAGCAACAATTCTAGAAATTGTTGGGGATATACCTGATGCTGACATGGCACCACCAGAGAATGTCTTATTTGTTTGTAAATTAAATCCAGTAACAAATGATGACGATCTGGAAATTATCTTCAGCAGATTTGGAAAGATTATTGGGTGAGTAAATTTCATGACTTTCTTCTTGTATAATCATTCTTTGTAAAATCTAATAAAGAGCTTAAATTCAACCCACTGATATTTTCTTCTAGGTGTGAAGTCATTAGAGATCGACAAACAGGCGATTCACTACAGTATGCTTTTATAGAATTCGAAAATCGTAAGAGCTGTGAGGAAGCCTATTTTAAAATGGATAATGTGCTCATAGATGATCGCAGAATACACGTAGATTTCTCGCAATCCGTAGCAAAAATGCGATGGCGTGGCAAAGGCAAAGGCATAAGATATTACAACGACAAAGGGGAATCTACCAATGAACTTCAGGTTAAATACCAAGAAAAAAAATCTCACAGTCGCGAATTCAAGTATAACAAACGAAATGAGGAAGAGCGAAATCTTCGCAATGACGATGGCAGAAAAGTCAGTAAAGACCTCAGCAAAAGAATGATCGATAACGATAAATATGTTCGGCAATATAATGGAAGGAATTTCAAGAACGATGAAGATGGAAAAGGTCCACGCAAGGATAATAGAAAGGATCTCGAATATGAAAAATGGGACAAGAGTAGAGACCGATATAGACAAAATGACGGTGGAGATCGGTTGGCAAGAAACACTAGTAAAGAACATAGTAAAAAAAATGGACAAGGTAGGAAGAATGAGCAAAAGCATAGAAAATCTAGTGATTACAAACGTAAAGATAAGGACCGTCGTTATAGAGAAGATAAACATTTCGAAAAGAAGAAAAAACGAGATCATTCTGAAGAGGAGTATGGGAGATCTAACAAGCATACACATAGTAAATAAGAGAATTGAAGGATGGAGTTCAAATCGGTTTTTCCTAATAAAATATATTTCAAGGATATCCAATATGTATATAAAATTAACAGTTTTCATCGAGTAAATAAAGATGGCTGCATATTTCCACTTACCACTTTATATAAAAATAGTTCAAATACAAATTACAGATCAGACATATTTACAAAGTACTGAAACTTGTACGCGATTTCCGCTGTGGATCACATATTGCCGAAGAAAAAGTAGTAGAATAATTTAGTGCATTAGAAACATTTGTTCAATCACAACTGCAATATCCAAAGGTTTATGAACAAGAGTAATTATCACGATATTAAATCAGTACTATTCTTTATGTATAAATTCGCTTCGTCATTAATAAAAAAATCTAGTAATTCATTAATTAAAATATGTATTTGATACCTAATATTAAATTATTAGGTTGGAACATAATCTGACAACTGTTTCGACATTAGCCTCAACCGTTAAAGAGGCTGTTGGAAGTTTCTAGGAGTGCGAGTATAAATACTAGCTTGCGTGTTTAGTGCACCATTGTTAACGATGAATTATATATTAATTATAGTTTCTTTCAAAAAGTTGTAAGATTATTATATTAAGGCTGCCGTCTAGCTTGATTAGCTATAATATGTTGCGTGACGTGACAAGCGAGGAAACGTGATTTTCGTTCTTCTTCATTTCTAAATGATTTAACAAAATTTTTGATGAGCCCGCTTCGTTATGTGATACGGCTGGTGGCTCTTCTTAATTTAGGTGCAAAAAATGTTTCAATTCAGAGAAAAATACGTAAAGAAATCTTGCATTTCTGACCTGTCAAGACATCATTGGCGCTGCCATTACGACCGTTTACTAAATTTCCTTTTTCTGCGAATCAGGACACTCATCACACTTAAATCGAGAACAGCCGCCTTGCTATGGATGATATAAAGCATACAGTCAACCGCAATAATGGTGTCAACGGTAGACGCCGTACGGTGAGGTAAGAGAGGGGATTTTGGAGGCGCCTGCTCGCGTATCTTGACCTGTGCGTGCAGCGCAGAAAGCGTTACAATGCGAGCGAAACGCCAGAGTGTCGCTCGGTGCGTCCTTGTTGCACAGCACGAGTGTAAGCGAGACGCCAACAAGGCCCCTCATGCGCAATAGGGCGCTTGTTGGGGGACCGCTCGTGTTCGGGCGCACGCGCGCTCTCTCTCTCTCTCTCTCTCTCTCTCTCTCTCTCTCTCCCCCCTCTCCCTCTCCCTCTCCCGCTCCTTCTCCCTCTCCCTCTCCCTCTCTCTCTCTCTCTCTCTCTCTCTCTCTCTCGACAGAAGAAGGAATATCAAGTGAAATACTAAAAATGGCATTCAGTACAATAAAACAAAAATTTGTTGATATAATCAACGGATCCCTAAGTGAGGGCTGGTGTCCTGATAGTTGGAAAAAGTCCACGATCATACTAATCCCAAAGATAGATAGAGCCATAAAAGCAAAGGATTTCCGGCCAATTAATATGTTGCCAATGTATGAGAAGATACTAGAGTTAGTAGTAAAAAGCCAAATTGAAAAATTTCTGGAATCAAATGAGGTCATAACAGAGCACCAATCGGGTTTTCGAAAGCAATATTCGTGTGAAACAGCAATTCAAATCGTGGTTGACGAATGGAAATTAAAAATCAGCGAGGGGAAAATAGTGGGAGTAATCTTCATGGATTTGAAACGAGCGTTTGAGACTGTGGACAGAAGACTGTTACTGGAAAAACTAATGCAATATGGAATAAGGGGTAAAGTATGGGAATGGTTCAGATCGTACTTAAGCAACAGGACACAACAGGTTAGGTTCAATGAGGAATTTTCAAATATCATAGAAACAAAATACGGAGTATCACAGGGATCAGTGTTAGGGCCATTGTTGTTCGTTATATATATAAATGATATAGTCGACATATGTCCGGAAGATTGTGCAATAAAGTTGTTTGCTGACGATACATTAATATACGTAAC